CCCCTGCCCTGCTGCTCCTAGATGCCGGCGCTGACACGGAGATGGTGCTGCAGGAGGTCACTGCCCGGCTCCAGAGCAGGTTTGGCTTTGCCCTGTGCACGGTACAGGTGGAGCAGCACCAGGAGGAGTCAGCAGGCTGTCCCCACTGCCAGGACCCCCGAACCTGAGACCCCCACCCACTGCTACGTTGGGCCAGACGCGGCCCTGGCCCCAGCTCCTTGTGCTAGAGCAGGGCAGCGCTTGAGATCCCATCTCCCCTCTACCCACCCCACTGCTGCTGCAGAGCCCTGGGGTGGGACAGTGACTCCAGTGTGGTGTCCTGGGGGGACGGACACAAGGCCTGGCCTGTGGAGCACAGGGGCTCCCTGGAACCTTCACTCCCCGAGGAGGTGGAATCCTGCCCCACCACACGGCCCCCAGGGAGCCTGTCTGTCCTGGCAGGAAGGGACATCTCCCATGGGGGCCCTCAGACCTGGCCTTGGCCCCAGCCCCCCGCGCTGCTGCCTGGGCTCTGTCTGAACCCTCCTGTGCCTGGCCCTGACCCATTCCCTCTGCTGAGTCGTGCCTGTGCCCCTGGTGTCCATCTGTCCATCTGTCCCAGCAGCGGTGCCAGCGCTGCCAATAAATGTGTTGGAGCAGCAGCAGCAGCAGCAGTGCAGCAGACAGAGGGGCATGGGGAGGGAAATGGTGGAGCTGGGGGTGGGCCCCTACAGCCACACCTGCCCTGGTGCCGGCATCAGCACAGCCATACAAAACCAACCACGTTTATTGTGCACAGCTGAACACAGCTCAATGTGAGCGACTCCACGGCTCCCGGCCCTCCCCGCCCTCACTGGGCACTCCCTGGGGATGGAGGCGAGCACAAGCACAGCTCCAGCTGGTGGAGCCCAGGGGCTGCACAGGGTCACAGCTCAGCCCTGCCCAGCTCAGACCAAACGGTGCAGACAGACCCTTCCAGGCCCAGAGCACCCCAGGGAACGGCTGGGAGCAGCTGTCCCCCTGCAGCAGACACCCATCAGGAAAGCAGCACCACCAGAGAGGGCCCACAGCCCCATGCCAGCACAGCTGGCCCAGCCCCAAGCCCCAAGCCCTGCCCAGGGTGAGCACATGGCAGCAGCATGGTGAGGCACTGACACCCTTACTCCCCTGGCAGCAGGGAGGGCTCAGGGGGACCAGGGCTGCTGTGTGTGTCCCCATAGAGGAC